AGACCATCAAACACCATCCTAACCTGTGCTTCTGATCTTTAATTTTAACTAAGGCTGAATCAAGGTTCTTGAAGTACATGACTTTTATTTCCATAGCCACTTCAGCCAGTCTGCTTGCTATTTTTTTGAACAGTTTATTGAGATACATTTCATGTATGATACAATTAATCTGTTTAAATTGTATTATTTAATGATTTTCAGTATATTCATGAAATTGTGCAACCATCACCACAACCAATTTTAGAACATTTCGTTACGAAAAGAAACCCCACACACCTTAGCCACCCTCCCAAACACCCCACTTTGAGCAGTCCTGTTGTTGTTGCTAGCTGCCGTTGAGTCGGCCCCTAGCTCATGGCTAGGCAAACACTAATCTGATTTCTGATTCCATGGATTTGCCTATTCTCAACATTTCATATAAATGGAATCATATAATATGTGGCTTTTTGTGACTGACTTCTTTTACTCGGCATATTTTCAAGGTTCATCCATGTTGTAGCGTGCATCAGTATTTCATTCCTTTCTTTTTCTTTCATTGTGGTAGTTTAAGTGAAAGTTTACAATTCAAGTTAGTCCCTCATACAAAAATTTATACATACATTGTTATGCGACCCCAATTGCTCTCCCTATACTGTGACAGCACACTCCTCCTTTCCACCCTGATTTCCCATGTCCATTCAACAAGGTCCTGACCCTCTCTGCCTTTTCATCTCACTTCCGGACAGAAGCTGCCAAGTTAGTCTTATGTATCTACTTGGGCCAAGAAGCACACTCTTCACGAGTATCATTTTATGTCCACCGTCCAGTCCAATCTTTGTCTGAAGAGTTGGTCTTGGGAATTGTTTTAGTTCTGGGTTGACAGACAGTCCAGAGGCCATGCTTCCTGGGGTTCCTCTAGTTTCAGTCAAACCATTAAGTCCGGTCTTTTTACTAGAATTTGAGTTCTGCATCCCATCCTTCCCCTGCTCCATCATCATTCCTTTCTATTGTCAAATAACATTGCGCAGTGGTTAAAGCGCTTGGCTGCTAACCTAAAGGTCGGCAGTTGGAAGCCACTATCCTCTCAGCTGGAGAAAGATGTGGCAGTCTGCTTTTACAAAGATTACAGCCTTGGAAACCCTGCAGCGTAGTTCTACTCTGTCCTATAGGATCTCAATGAGTTCTAGCCTTCAAAACTGTGAGACAATAAATTTCTGTTCTTTAAAGCCACCCACTTTGTAGTATTTTGTTATGGCAGGCCTAGGAAACCAGAACAGTTAACCCTGTTAGTAACTGCAGCCACAGAGAATATAGAGTGAGGCAGAGCAAAGAGCAGATGCCACCTGGTAGCCAGGACAACCAAGGGCAGAACACCACTCTTTACAAAAATTTCCAGGTTGCTGGAGACTCTGTGGAGCAGATAGAGACTAAGTTAAAAACATTCTTATCTCTCTATATATACACACACATATAGTGTTGCTATGAGTCAGAATCAACTAGATGGGCTATGGGTTTTATAGGAAGCATGCTAGGGAGCAGGAGAACGGGCATTGGAGCTGTTTTCAGCTTTCCCATTTTGTCTATGAAATCAATCAGATAATTTATTTTCCCTTTTTAGATGCTTGGTTTTAAAAAATGCTTCATTCATGAAATTTGTGGAAAGGCTAGGGAAAGTTTAAAACATTGTAACTTACAGAATTTAGCCTTGGAAGATATCTGCAAGACTGTGCAGAACTGGCTAGCACCCTCTGGTGGACAGTTTTGGAAACGGCGTAGTCTCTGATGGGTGCACTGAAACTAGTTGGGGAGGGAGATCCAGGACCAGAAAGAGCCATCTTCTGAATCTCTGCTCCAGACTTTATCTCGGCTCTCTGGTGGTCAGCAGGTATGCAGCTGGCTTCTATTTCCCTAATGATCTAGCAGGTCCAGGATATAAAGCCATGGGAAATGGGTTTTGTGAACTGTGTGATTTTTCTGATTGTCCTACATAAGAAAAGAGCAGTGGGCAAATTGTAAAACTAGTTTCCCCACACAAGTGATTGAGTGGGCTGGTAGGTAAAGGATGGAGGGTGTGGGAAAATTTAAAGGTGATACAGGCAGAATTTCCTCCCCATTCTTCAAGTGGATGGCTAGCAGGAAATAAGGAAACAAATGTTAACCTTTTAGAAATGTAGACATGTACCAAGAAGGCAGAATTGAGGTTGTATTCATACAGGTATGACAAAATAACAGAATGAGATTGGCAATAAAAATAGTGGATGTTTCAAGTCCACAGACCACCTCACTCACATTAGCAGACCCTGGATTAGCATTTCACCTGCAATGAGACGGACAGATTTGGTAAATATGACCAAAAGAAAGTTCACGAGTATATGCTAGTTCTGAGTTAACTTTTTAAACTGTGATTTTATTTTTTCAAATGTGCAGACGTTGAAGCATTTCTTTCTCCACTTTGAAGAGAAGGATTTAAATTCAAAAACTTCCTGTAACGTGTGTGAATTAACTGTGAGTGTACTTGCAAATTTGCAAATGTGACTATTAATAGAGACTTCTATTTTGGAATAAGTATGAGTGCTAGGTCAGTGGCCAGTTAACATCAAATGAAATAATTAAAGTTAAGTTTATGGAAATCTCAAGTCTGTGCTGATCCTACAAAGGAGAAATTAACATTAAAAATGTAAAAGTTAATTGTATTCCATATGTGGTTCCAATTCTGTTTATCAAAATTTAGAATGCTATAGAGATCAATCCCAATGACCAGAATCCTGAATAAAGTTGTCAGGTGCTAATCACAAACTCTTGTTAGCCTACAAGTCTACTGATTCATTCAAGTTGTTTGGTTAAAAGTTATCTGTGAAGAAATCATTGTTTACTATGCTTGTTATTTTCCGTTTTGAAGAAATTCAGGATACAGATAATTAAGGAATGGAATGTAGAGGTTACTTCTCAAAATTCCATCTGTGATTATCTAATTCTGAACCTTGTTCTAAAAAAAATAGAGTCAAAGTCCACAGTTAGATAATAAGGATGTTTTGGCTTAAGATGTTATTACTCAAACAACTTCCACCAGTCAATATAGCCCAACCAGAAGATTGCTCTGATTTATGGAACGTGTCTACCTAAGCAGTTGAATCAAGAGAAGTAAGAACCCTCATCCCCCACCCCTTGCCTGGGTTCTACTATAAAATAAAGCAATGAGTGATAAGCTTCCTGCTTCTTGTATCACAACTTTGGGAAAGAAAGCCAGAAGAAGGTAGTTCTGCTCTGTGGTCAGGGACTGTGGGAAGAGCATTTTAAATGACACAAGCCCTGGTTTTAGGTTGGAGCAGCTGCAGTTAGTATTGCATCCAGACTACACCCACACCTCAAGTTTTCCCTAGGATTAGAAAGATGGAGATCCATGAAGTAGTGAGTCCAGGAAGAGTCATAAACAGCAACTCCATCATAAGCCACGTTCACTTAGACACTCAACAAACACTGAACACCTACTACATGCTGAACATTGTGTATACAGTAGTGAATAAAATGGATTACATTTTCTAGTTGGCTGTTGCTAATAGAGATAAGTGCTATTGATTTTTATAGATTGAATTTGAGTCTGTCAATCTTGATAAACTCTTATTCTAACAGCCTGATTGTTGATTGTTGGTTTTTCTAGATGTTCATATTTGCAAATATTGGCAGTTTTATCTCTTCCTTTACAATCCTTACACATTTTTTTCCTTTTCCTCCCAATGAAGCCAAGAACCTCCAGTATCATATCAAACAATAGCAATAATACTACAATAGCATCTTTGTCTTTTTCCTGATCTTAAGATAAGTTTCTCTATTAAGTCTAACCTTGCTGTAGGTTTTTTAAAAAATATATATATATAAACTGTACTAAAGTAGGAAAATCTTCTACTATTCTTACTTTATAAGTTTAAAGATCATACGTAGGAGTTAAACTTTATACATTTTTTTCCTGTATCACTTGACATAATCAATCATGTGGTTTTCTGTTTTAGCTATTAATTATTAATACATTGATAAAATTTCTGATATTAAACCATCCTTGCATTCCTGGAATAAACCTTACTGGGTCATGATGTACGGTTTTTTTTAAAAAACACTATTGGGTACAATTAGCTAGTATTATTTTCTTGTGTTGCCTTTATCAGTTTTTGGAATCAAAATTACACTTACCTCATAAAATCAGTAGGCACCTTTTAAAGTCTTCTATACTGTGAAACCACTTGTTTCTTTCAGGAGGGGCAGTCTTTGACTACTCTTCAGTTTCTTTAATATTTATCAATCTATTCAAGAACCCATTCTGGTATTTTATATAGTTCTAGGAACATTTCCACTTCATGCAAGTTTTTCAATATATCCTAATATTAGATTTTCCTAATGTTTTACTCCATATTGTGGTATGTGGGTTTCTTATAGTGAGGGAGTTGATGTGAGACCTAGCTTGGCCAACACTTTTAAACACATCCTGTCACCTCCACCTCTCTGAGTAGGGTAATTCTATCTAGAATGTAGCCTGACATGATTAGTCTAACATCTGACCCTGGCCTGGCTTGGACATTTTCTGGTCCTCTATGGCTCCTCTTTAGTTTGATTTACCTTCCTTTAGAGTTGTAAACCCCCTGTTAGGGATGCTCCTTTATGGTGCTGGACATAGTTAAGTGCTAAAAAGAGTAAAAGAGAACTCTATGGGGTACAGAGCAAAAGAAGTAGTAAATGCAGAGAGTGCAGCTACTACTTCTAGGGCCAAGGGAAAAGTGAACAAAACATTAATGTGTTTCCATTAATTTTGTATCTCTCTCTTATACACACACACACACACACACATACACATGTGTATATATATGCAAAATTACACAATATACTTTTTAATATATCATTATGTTTCATTTTCTCTGAGTGGCTGGTGGGTTTCGATCGCTGACCTTTTGGTTAGCACCGACTGCTTAGCGCTTATCCATTGTGCCACCAGGGCTCCTTATGTTGATACGTGGTCTTATGCAAATATTTGGGACATACTTATACTAAAAAATTATTTGTTGTTCATCTAGAATTCAAATATAACTGGGCGTCCTGTATTTATCCGGCAACTCTAACCCTAGGGGAGTTGGCAATATCTGATGAAATTTTTGATGGGTGTGGTGGTGCTACTGGCATCTAGCGGGTAGAGGCCAGGGATGCTGCTAAACATCTTACATTCCCTCTATGGACAAAGAATTAGCGGATCCAAAATGCCAGTAGTACTAAGGCCATGAACTTTAAGGGTCTCTCGCAGACTGACAGTGCCTGGGCTTTCTAAGTTCATCTTCCTTTTGGAAAGGCAGCATGTGGTTAGTGAGAGGAGGAAGTCCAGGGCTGGATCTTTAAAATCCTGTGCACACAACTTCTTGCGGCTAATAACGCAACGGCTAGGAGCTAGACTGCCTATCGCAGCAGGCGGAAGAATGATGTAGAAAAGATCGCATGCGAAGCGCACTGGGGGCAGTAAAGCGCTCTGCACACTCCGGATAAGTCGGACCACAACGCTTTGTAACTTAAGTGCCTCTGACACAGACTGAGCTATCCTCTAAGGCCGACCAAGAACAAATCCTCCTACGGCCGGGAGTAGGAAGGCGTTGAGTAGCACACTGGAAACGGCCTGGTAAAGGCGTCCTTCTCCCCTAGCAACGGTCGTGAAGGAAGTGGTTGCAGTAGCCGTGCCCTTTGCGCCTGTGCGGAGGCGCGGTCTGCTAACGTGGAGCTGCGCTCCGGCGGTAGAGCCGGGAGCGCCACGGAGTGTGGGAGACCCGGTAGGTTGGCGGAGCTGCAGTTAGGGCCGGGATGGCGGCGCAGCTCGCTCCGCGCCGGGTAGCCGGCGCTGCCGGGCGGCGCTGGTTGGCTTTGCTGCCTCTAATGCTGCTGGCGCGGCCCGCGGGGGCCCTGTTGGAGGGGCTCTATTGCGGCACGCGCGACTGCTACGAGGTGCTGGGGGTGAGCCGTACGGCGAGCAAAGCGGAGATCGCGCGGGCCTACCGCCAGCTGGCCCGGCGCTATCACCCCGATCGCTACCGGCCCGAGCCTGGCGACGAGGGCGCCGGGCGGACGCCACAGAGCGCTGAGGAGGCCTTCCTGCTAGTGGCGACCGCTTACGAGACTCTCAAGGTGAGGCTTGGGGGTATGGATGGGCTGGGAAGACTAGCCGCGAGAAGCGCGTGGCACGGCGTTTTCTGCCTCCCGTCTTCGGAGCGAGGTTCTCTGTGACCCCAGCGCTGGGCCCCGCCTCTGCCACGACCCGGAGGATGCGTACGTTTTCCGACACGGCCCATTGACAAGGGTGGGAACCCCTTTCGGTCCCGGAGGGGGCAGCATGCCTCTTCCTGGGGGATTGGGGTGGGCAAGTGATTCTGCCACACGCTCCCCCATGAAAAAGGTGTTTCCTCCTTTTTGTGACAGTCATTGTTATGCAGAGCTTTGGGGATCTTAACGTTTATTGAAAGCATTTTAATAACGTGCAGGACAGGAAGCGCTCGAGTATTGAATGACACTGGTGGCGCTAATTTGGTATGGCAGAAATTCCTTTTACGGAAACGGTATTAATTATTATGACATTTAGCTGGGAACGAGAAAAACAGTAAGAAGAACGATAAACGAGTCACAAGACGGGATGTTTTGACTCTTGGCTCTGAAACCCCTCTATGACCTTGGGTAGGTGACTTAATATGTCAGAGTAGCTGTTTCTTCATATGTAAAAATAAGGTCGTGATACGACCGCCTCACAGGATTATTATGTGCCCCCTTAAATGATAAGTGTGAGAAATCCCCTGTATAGGATCTGTAATTTAGTAGGTGCTTAACAAATGTTGTGTTAAACATTTGAGGGTGAATTCTAGCTTGGGGTAAAAGACTGTTGAGAATTTCTAGTAGGAAATATTTTGTGAATATGTGTTCAGTCACTTGACAAAGATTGAGTCGTGTGAGGACAGGAGAGGGGAGATGCTGTTCTCTTCTGCATGCTGCAAAAGTTAAACCATATGACAAATCACAAAGTGTAAGTCATACTTGAGTATCCGTCAAGTATAGATGTATTACTGCTTCAAGGGTCCCATCATACTAATACAGCAGCTGTTGTAATTGCAAGATATTTCTAGCCTTTTTTTTTTGGAGGCACAGTTCTCTATGTTGGTATATAATCTGCTTTTAATGACAGTGCTTTGAGTGGATGAACTCTAATTTAACCATGGATTGCTTCTTCAGATTAGTTTTCCAGAGGTGAAAATACTGAGTCAAGGAGTTAAAGGCTATTTATGTTTTCCAGAGCAGTTTGGAGAGTTTACAGTAGTAAATGAGCAGGCCTAGATTACTGAATTCTCACTAGCATTAATTAGATTGTAATTTTTTTATTGGCAACTAATTGAGAATGGATGGGAGCTGGGAAAATGCCATGACCAGAGGGCTTAGTTTGCCCATTTTCAGGGTAAAGAGTGATTGAAGAAACGTTTGAGAAAAATGGGAAGGAAATCTCTCCATCCAGGGTAGCCCAGCATATAAAGCCCTAACTTCTTTTTTATGCAGTGAGGAAAGACAGAGGTCCAGAGAAGCTGCAGAAGCTTTGCTCTTTGTGCTGCAAAGCTCTGCTGTTGCATAAGGGAGCCCTGGACAGATGGAAACTCGGGGAGGAAAGGGCAGCAGAAACACTGGCACCTGTTGCCTTCTGCTGGGTTTTGTGGGGTTAGAGATAGGTGGCTTGACATGAGAATGGTGAGCTTGTTGGTAAGAACTTTGAAAACAAATGCAAGGTTGAGAGTAGGAATAGAGACAACAGAAATTCTTGGCTGGGAGGGACCCCAGGTTCTAAATATTCTTGCTATCTTCTCGAAGAGACTTCGGGGTAAATTTGGAGTACTGATTTGGTTGCCTCTAAAGGTTTCTACCCCTAAAGTTTAGCTCTCATGTGTCAGCTAATAAAAATCCAGATAAATAATTGGCCCACTCAAGAACAAGGAATTTTTGGGCAGTTAAAAACTAGTATGTCTGGAGAAAGTAGCACTTTTACCCTTGACTCCCAAAAGGATGTTGGTGGTAGCTACAGATGTCTCCATATGGAGCTAGAGTTGAAAGGAGTGCTCTATAGCTTCCCTACTTTACAGTATTACTGCAAGGGAATGAAAATTATTTGTGAGAGAAAAAGGATGTCTGAGAATAGTTTGGGCCCCTGAAAAATCATATCTGGCTGCGTTCTATGAAGACTCCAGTTTAACGTTATATATATAGGTTGACACAGATTCAGTTTTCAAGTGGAGCGTCTCCAGGAACTTTTTACATCATTGCAGATGCCTTCTCTTGGATAAGAAAAGACTGGCTCACTGTGGAAGAAGTTATTAAAACAAACTGGGTGGTATGGTTTTATTTGTGTCATAATGGAGAATTGTGTGGAAGTTGCCGGAGAATATAATTTCTGGGCAATACAAAGATGTAATGAACTAGGGTCATCCAGTTTGGAGGGCCCCAACCCTCCCCCCCAGAAACAAAAAACAACAACACAAAACCAAACCCATTGTGGTCGAGTCAATTCCAACTCATAGGAACCTTATAGGATAGAGTAGAACTGCCCCATAGGGTTTCCAAGGAGTGCCTGGCAGATTCCAACTGCCAACCGTTACGGTTAGCAGCTGTAGCTCTTAACCACTACACCACCTGGGTTTCCTGGAGGGCCCCAGCCTTCTAAGTTATCCTTTTAAGGCAATATTAATGGAGCTATTGTTTGACTTGGATTATAGCCTCAGATTGGAAAGAGGATTTGTGAGGGAGAGGTCTCAGGTGAGCTTTGCTAAGGGAAGGTCAGATAGAATAGTGGGACAAGTTGGTGAGTTCTAGTGGTTCTGAAATAAAAATGAGATGCAGAAGCCCACTGAGAATTCCATAATTGTCTCATGGCGGCAGGAACTGCAGAACTGAGACCACAACCGTAAACTTTAAAGTTTTTTTACTTCCTTCTGTTTGCTGTTTTTGTTAGTACTCTTATCTCTTTTCTTGGAGGCATTGGTAGCTACCACCAACATCCTTTTGGGAGTCAAGGGTAAAAGTGCTACTTTCTCCAGACATACTAGTTTTTAACTGCCCAAAAGTTCCTTGTTCTTGAGTGGGCCAATTATTTATCTGGATTTTTATTAGCTGACACATGAGAGCTAAACTTTAGGGATAGAAACCTTTAGAGGCAACCAGATTGGTACTCCAAGATTAACAGCAAAAACTTTGAGGGGTATACTTGTCTATAGAGCTAGCAGAAAGGGTGGGGCTGGGGGGGTGGGAGCTAGGAAGAGTATGTCCTCCTTTGCAGCCATCTTCAGTTATTGCTGGTATGTGGGGGAAAAGTTGATTTTATATTTGCTTTGTAAAATGAATAGTTAGCTTCCACCTCTGGAACAGTTTAACAGAAATGATCTCTCTTTTGATAGTTGGAATAGTTTAATTGTAAATTAATTGGAGCCAAGAACCTTTTTTCTCTCCCCACAATTTTTTGATAACCATCTGAGTTTCTTTTATTATTGGTCTGTTCAAGTCTCTTTATATTTTTAATATATATGATCTTAGAAGCTATGGTCTATCCTCATTATTATCTTACATTGGAGTTCCACCAATACTTCTGATTAACCAAGGATCTCCCAGTGTTGGTAATACACATGTGGCCAAAATGGAAACTGTATTTTTGCAAGGCATTGGTGGGTTTATGACTCTGAGGTCGTGGTCAAATAAATGCCTGTTTAAGAGGGAGAGAGAAATTTGAATGGTGGTTCTTAAACAATAAGTACAGTAATGTGATTTAAATACAGTGGGTAACGCAAGACGAGAAGATATTACCATAGCTGGTGGTTCCTGTTTTAGCAGTGAAGATTCTATCTGTGTATAGAGAGACGGAGGAAAATCAGAAAAGAAGGATGGGTAAAAATGGAAGGCAGAAGACCCTGGTCAGACGCTGTCACCAAGTCATGCTTAGTTCATATTCCCAAATAACTTACAATCTCAGATCTCAGGGGCACTTCAGACAATTGTTTTCACACACTCCTGTAACCTAGTAATATTTAGTATATTTGACGACTGGGATTCAGGGAATTCATGGACTTTGGAAGTTAAGTGGACTCTTACTCGCTTTGTCAACATTGGATCTCATGGGGTGGAAAATTTAGTCCCACTTATGTGTTTTTATGTGGATATAGCACTTATCACACTGCACAATAAATATTGAGTAGTCCTCCTCCTTTCTCCACTAAACCATGTTCCTTGTTTTTTGTATGTATATCCATAGCACTTAGCACAGTGTCTGGCACATCAGATAATGAATGTTTATTAAAACTCTTATCTGGAGACCAATTCAGATAGAATGGAAATTGAAAGTGGATTTGTGGCGTTTTGACCATTATGTGAAGCCTACATTGCTATTTCAGTCCAAATTAATTGTAGTTTTGAAGAGTGGTACAGGTAAAGTTGACTGGATGTATGAATGGAAAATTTCTGCATGAGGAAAAAACTGCATTTCCATCTTTAAGAAGAAAGTATGTTCTGAGGGTTTTTAAGTGAGAACATTAATCCTTTTTAAATGCAGATAAGAATTGGATGAAGTAAGAGCAATGTCTTAGAAATAAGCAGATGAGGGAACAGGTGGAAAGGATGCACACAGAAAATCTATGATTGGTAGAAAATGGAAAAGTATTAGAATGTGACACATTTTGCAAGATCACAGAAAAGGCCATATAAAGGGTCTTGGAAATATTACTGGCATGAGGATTGTCTGGTAAGGTGAAAAGATGTGTAGAGAGAGCCTCCTACTCTAGCCTTGTCTTGAAAGGGAAGTGTCACAAGGGCACTTCAGTTTCTTTTTATCAGTTTGGTTGATGTGGCAGGGCTGTAGCACTTAGGAAGAACTTGGCTGAAAAGGAAACTCTGAACTCTCTGCTCTGTTATGTTACTGTTTATTGTTCATTCCTTAGCATATTCTCTCACTCAACCCTTTATCCCTGTACAGCTGCTGGGGGAGGAGTCCGTAACAATGAAAAGCACACAGTTCCTGCCTCTAAGCTCTTATTATAACAAGGGAGATAGATACTTATTGTTTGGTTATTATTTATTTAAGTTATATAAGTATGTACTAATTATATTGCTGTACT